GCCAGCCCACCACCCTGGGATATCTCTTGGGACACCGCGCTGGATCAGAACCCAAGTCCCCTCTCAAATTGGGAGAGCATTGCACTAACGAGCAGACTTGAGTCATCCTAACTCTAGAAATCACTAGATCTGTGTGACCAGTCCCACCACCCCTAGTGTAGAGCTCCGTGTCACAAACACTGGACCGCTATTAAGTGCTTCCTTGTAAAAATGGTGATTCTAGGACCCATCTTAGAACCTGCCTCACACTTTTTCCGAAGCTCCCTAGGGATTCTGACCCCAGTTAGGCTTGGAACTCCTGGATCGTGTTAGATCAGGTTCAAATACAGAACCACTTCATCCTGAATCTCCTAGATCAAAGACAGCAGGCATTTTTTTGTCTGTTTTCTTCACTACTTTATCACCTACTATAGAGACTGGCACACAGTAGGGACTCACTAAATATTTAATGAATGAATGCATGAGCTGGGAATTTAACAACTAAGAGGGCAGACAGTCAATTATTTAGTGAGCACCTGCAATGTGCCAAACCATATGATACGTATAGTATCACATGTGATATGTGATAAATGAAACTTTAAAAATTGCTGCCGTCATGAAGGGCCCCTACAGTCTACTGAGAGGCAAAGCTGGGCTCAGAGGCCAGTCTAGGTTCAGGGGCTAGGCAAAGCTCCGAGGCCAGGATGTCCTTGCTTGGTTAGGCTAGGCTCCAAGGTTAGGCTCGGCTCTCCAAGGCCCCAAGGATCAACTAGGCTTGGCTCTCCGAGGTCCTGAGACGAGGCTCTATGGCTTCCAGGCTAGACTAAACTCTGAGGACAGGCTGTCCTCCATCAGCTAGGCTAGGCTCCGAGTCCAGGTTGTCCTCGCTGGCCAGGCTAGGCCCTGAGGCGAGGCGAGGCTCTCTGAGCTTCTGAGTCTAGCCCAGCTGTGGGCAAACTACGGCCCGCGGGCCAGATTCGGCCCGTTTGAAATGAATAAAACTAAAAAAAAAAAAAAAAGACCATACCCTTTTATGTAATGATGTTTACTTTGAATTTTTATTAGTTCACACAAACACTCCATCCATGCTTTTGTTCCGGCCCTCCAGTCCAGTCTAAGAACCCATTGTGGCCCTCGAGTCAAAAAGTTTGCCCACCCCTGGCTCTGAGGCTAGCATGCGTCTTTAATGATGTCACCCTATGCATTGATAAGTCACATGCTTTGTTCTTGTGTTGGCAGTGGCAACTTACAATGAGTCTAAGGGTCTGAGCACCAGACTGGCCTGCAGGGAACAGACACTCATTCCAAACGCCCCCCCCCTCGCCCCCAAATTCCTTCTGAATTCCATCGTGAGGCATGGATTGGTTTTATTTGTGGGTACACAAACTACACAGAATTATAAAAACATATTGACAGATGTTCCACAGTGCTATAATCTGGAGCAAAGAAATACCTCCTTTTTTTTAAAGTACATTTTTATTGATTTCTGAGAGGAAGAGAGAGACAGAAACATCAATGATGAGAAAGAATCATTGATCAGCTGCTTCCTACACAGTCCCTCCAGGGAATTGAGCCCACAATCCAGACATGTGCCCTGACCAGGAATGGAACCAGCAAATTTTAGTTTTACAGGATGACATCCAACCAACCAAACCACAACAGCCAAGACAAAAAAAATTATGGCCCAATCCCCTAGCTACCTGGTAAACTTCTTTCCCCCACTGAGATGATTACTGTTACAAGTTCCTGATATCTTTCCAGACATGCATACACAAATACACATATACACATATAAATAAATACACATAAAGTAGCAGCAAACTATACACAATACTTTGTACCTTGCTTTTTTTTTTTTCTTTCTGAAGTACAGTCCCTCAGGTCATTTGATGTCAGCATATTTAGAATCATCCTAATTTGTTAACTAATTGCATTCTATTCCTTTGTATGGAGATACCATTTTTCTTTAAAACAAATCTTCTAGTAATAAACATTTAATCTGTCTTCATGTCTTTGTGATTATAAACAAAGTAGAAACGAATATCCTTATATATTTATTATACCTATAAGCAAATGTATCTACAGAAAAATTTACTAGAAATGCAATTACTGGGGCAAAAGGCACATACATGCATTTTAAAAATTAAAATATAAAAATCCTCACCTGAGGATATTTTGTCCATTGGGGTGTAAATGCAGCATCATCCCCGGTTCCCTCACTGGGGGGGGGGGGGGGGGGGGGGGTTGACCCTTTGATCCAAGGCCAACGCTCTAACCACTGAACAACCAGCCAGGGTGCCATTTTTTTCTTTCTTTTTTTTAAAAAAATATATTTATATTGATTTTAGAGAGGAAGGAAGAGGGAGAGAGAGATAGAAACATCAATGATGAGAATCATTGATCGGCTGCCTCCTGCAAAGCCCCCTACTGAGGATTGAGCCTGCAACCCAGGCATGTGTCCTTGATTGGAACCGAACCCGGGACCCTTCAGTCTAAAGGTGATGCTCTATCCAGGCAACCATTTATTTCTTAACACAACTGTCCATATAACCTTAGTTTATACATCAGATGGAAACTTTTCTCTCTATAGGCTTTGTTCTTATATTCCCATCACATATCAGGGTGTTTTTTGTGGTGTATCTGTTCTGAGTGCCAGTCTCTAAGTTCCAAACATAAATGATGTATCAAACATATTTTACAAGAAAGAGAAGCTCATGTTTTAGGGTCTCTGCCACTGCAGGGGGCTTTCCCCCTGAGAAAGAAACCACCACTTCCTCAATTTGGAAGCTTATTTAGTCCCATCTTTTCATTCTACCGATGAGGAAGGGACTTGCCTAAGGTCACAGGGGACCTATTTGATTTACTAGGCCTGGCCTCCAGATGGATTGCTCATTTGGTGAAACAAAGGCTATTTCCTTTCATCCTCTCAGATAATCTTCAAGATCTCTATCTTTCTGGCCTCCTAGAAAATTCAGTCCCAGGAATGAC